CAATATTTTCTGAAACTCAGCCACGGAATTGATTAGGCCAAATGGTAGTACTCTGAATTGGTAGTTTCTTCCTCGGTGTAGAAAAGCAGTAATCTCACGACAATCTTTTCTGAGTGGACATTGCCAGTATCCTGCGGTTAAATCAATGGAACTGAGATATTTCATCCCTTGGAACTTCATCAATGTTTCTTCCAGGTTCGTTGGGCATTCGCGGTCAGGGATTATGACCGTATTAATTTTGCGAGCGTCCAAACATAGTCTAAGTTCGCCATTTTTCTTTTCAATACATACTATAGGTGAAGACCACGGTGATGTAGATTTTTCGATGATTCCCAATGTCAACATGCGCTGTATCTCTGCATCTACCCTCGGAATCCGGGATATTGGTATAGGGTACTGACGTTGGTGAATTGGGTCCCCTGGCTTGACTCGTATCTGACATTGAAACTCCTGTATTTTTCCTGGTTGATTGGAAAATATTCCTTCATATTTATTCAGTAAAGATACAAACATTTGTTTTTCATCGTTGGTGAGTGTTATCTGATTGTCTTCAGGATTTTCATGGATCTCAACGTTGAGTATATGTTCTTTTGAGTCGATTAGTCGTGGTTTCTGGCTGGCAAATGGTATGGTATGTGTTATTTTGTCAATCTTGAACTGAACCGTTTGTTCGCTGAATTTGATTTGTGCTGAATATTTCCTCAAAATGTCGGCTCCAATTATTCCTTTCTCATTCAGATTTTCAACTTGAATAAAATCAGTTTGCATGTATATGTTACCAATCTTACACTCGCAGAAGATTTGTTTTGATACTTTACAGATCTTTTTTCCTACTGCGTTGCTGATTTGTATCCCTGTTACCGGAAGCTGTGGTATTTTTGGATTTTTCTGTGTTATTATATCCACTACTTCTTTAGTGAGTACACTGATCGTGGCTCCCGTATCCACCAGCAACGTTACCTCCTCTCCTTCGATGGTGCATCGGATGTATGGGCTTATGGATTGATTGGTTGTTTTTAATGAATTTATAACATGTTGTTCTTTATCAATATGTCCTGCTTGTTCTTCATTGCTTGTTGACACTTGATGGATCTTTTCCGTCTGCTGCGGGTTGCTTTGTTGGGTCTCACCGCGTTTGTCATTATTGCGATATGGTTGATTATTCCAACGGTTGTGTCGCGATGGCATGCTATTCCATCCGTTGTTCCGTTGGTTGTTCCAATTGTTACTTTTCTGTTGGTTGTTGTTGCTATTTTCTGCGACTGGTGGTTCAGCCTTTTCTCTGCAATGTTCCTCTGCGCTGAGTATTTTCATCGCCGAAATTATTGATTTTTCTGGTAGTGATATTAAGATTGCTCGGAGGTATCCTGGATAGTGACTGGCAATATTTGTTACTATTTCTTCCTCGGATATTTGTGGTACTTGCAAATGACGTAGTTTCGTCGACCATTGTGCGAAGTGTTCTCGGTATGTTATATTATTCGGTACCTGGGAGATGTTCAAACAGCTGCTCCAGGTTTTAATCTGTATTTCTCGGGACCAAAATTCGTCTATGAAAGCATCCCGGAATTGTGGATATTCTCTGATTTGAAATCGTATGGTGGCATACCAATTTCCTGCGGTGTTTCTAAGACAATCTCGTATAACCAGTAATTTTTCTTCGTTATTTATTTGTTTTACTTTAAAGTATTCCTCGAGGTTTTGTAAAAAATCTATTGGGTGTTGATCTTTGTTATTGCCAAAAAATGTCGGTTTGGATATCTCTATGTTAGAATTTTTTCGGTCTTCATAAATGGTTGATACATCCCGTTTTTGTTCAACAAATATTTTCCTCAAGTTTTCTAAGTCGGTTTTATTTTGTTGCTCCAAATTTTGCATATCTCTGCAGTGGTCTTCCATGATTTTTTCGATTTTCCTGGAACTTTCATCTTCCATATTGCTGCATTTTTCCTCAAGCTGATTAATTTTTTGCAGTAACTGGTCAACCAAATATCTGCTGTTTCTTTCCACTTCATTTTTAAATGCATTGAATTCATCTTTGCTGATTGTTTCTTTTTTCGGCGGCATTCTAAATGATGTAACTTTTTGCTTTATAAACGATGTAGTCTTTCTTAATCTCGGGGTCCGAAGTAGAACTTCTTCTTCGAGCACTGTAGTTGGGCGCCAATGTAATGAAACGCAATTGGTTGTCGACAATTTATTTTTATTTATATGTGATGTTCTGACCCAATTGGCTCATCATCTGAGTTTGATACAATATTCATATGTTGTAATATAACAAGATTTTCTTTTGAGGAATTACCTCCGTTATACTCGTGATACAGAGTGTACATTTAAAATGTTTCTGGGGATTACAAACTGAAGGGTGGGAATCGGAACATTTTAACTCACAGTATCGGCTCTGCTCGAATGGCGGCGTGCTGTGATCA